GTTTCTACTAATACATTTAGCAGTGTGCCTACCAACCGCGAAAAAGTCAAAATTTAATTTTACTGGGAAAAAATAATAATTAGCTACACTGAAAGTCCTTTGGGTCAGCAGCAGACTTTCGATAGGCTGCTACTGACCATTTTGGAGGAACGCTACAGGACTATACTTTTGGGTTGCTGCGGTATAATTTTGGGCGCGTGACAGTCTAAAAGTTATTCAGCTGCAAACCAAAGGCGGCATCCCTACTACTTCGGTGAGCTGTTTACTAAAATTTTGGACTGTCACGCGCCCAAAATTGTACCGTAGCGCACCAAAACCATAGTGGAGCTGCTGTCACATACGTTGTTCCGCTATAGTCCCAAAGGTCTCTCAGTGTACCATTTACTATTTCATTACGAAAATATTACTATTTGAATCAGTGACTAACATTTTACTATAAAATTAGTTATTTTTAACTAATTCAAATTCAGAGAACAGTATTTGTCAATTTCTAGTACTTTATGCGTTTGTAGTACTTCATTTATTAAAAATTAATCCTAAATTTCCTCCAATTTTTGAAGTCAAAGTAGAGTCTAAGGGCCGGTTTCACCAACAACGATTAAAAGTTAATCACTGATTAAATCCTTAACCGACAAATCATGAGCCTAATTGTAACTAATTGTATCGCAATTAGACCCTAGGTTACGACTGTCAAAACCTAAATAAAACCTATAATTATTGTAGGCTGTGAGTAGGGATTATCACTATAAAAAAAGGTACAAATTTAGTACTAATTTTGATACTAAATCGTAATTTGTTTTATTTTTAATACCGAAATCAGCTGTAATTTAGAATCTTTTTTAACAAAGTAAATTTTAACTCGGGTCTGTTTAAATAAATATTACATAAATAAAAATTAAATTAAAAAGGGATTTCTTAAAAACTAGTAAATATAATAAAACTTTTTTAATTTGGTAAGAAAATGCCCGGTTTGGCATAAAATTACCAGCTTATTCCTGTTTTATTCGGTCAAATTAAATTCCCGGCTATTTCTCGGTTTTCCCGCGCGGTTAGTAAACATTCTGCTTTATATTAGGAGAAACTAAAACCCGTCGAAGACTGGTACGACAGCTAGTAATATAATATAACATATGAACTTAAAAAAGGGATTTTTCATCAAATGAGTCAATTTTTGTAGCTATATCTAGAAGTAAAATTAAAATAAACTTTTTACCATCTAAACTTTTACCAAATAGCATAGTGAAATTATCGTATCACACACTATAAAAAGAAAGGTACTAATTTAGTACCAATTTTGGCACTAAATCGTCATTTGGTTCTACTTTAATACCAAAAATCAGATCTAATTTAGAACCTTTTGTTTACAGTTTACAATTCTTGACATACTACGATATTATTTTTCTCATAAATCATTTATCATAAAATATCTCCATTTTTATTGTATATTTCTAAGTTCTTTCAATTAAAGAATAATGAATGAATTAGATAAATAAATAATTCTGAATTGCAATATTTTGACGTCAAAATCTTATTCAGAGACCCCAAAAATTCTACAATTAAGCTTGACGGAAGATGAAATTTATAAATTGTAAAATACGAAAATAAGAGATAAATGTTGATCTCACCCAAGTCTACTTTAATAGTTTGAAATTTTTATTTTTATATATAAAATTATAGTAAACAGAAATTGTGGTTTAATTTTAAACTCTGCTATTAGAAAAGAGTAAATCGTTACCTTTAATTAAACACATTTTTTATGTACAAAAAAACAACTTATTTATAAAATTTTTTGAAAAAAATAATTTTGTAAAATCTAAAATTTTTTATATTGAAACTATAATTTTTTGAATTCTACTACATGAACATTCTGCTTTAAATCTTGGTTTCAAGAAAAAATAAGTAGATAATGAAGATTACAAATTACAATAAAGTACTTCTAAATAATTAAAATTAATAAAAAATTATTTCTAAAGTATTTAAACAGTTTTTAAGAATAATAAAAAAATTTTATAATGTGCGATTTGTTAAATCTAACATTTTAAAATCATTTCTTACAGCATGCGCGCTGAATATTTACTGGATAGTCTTCTGCCTGAAGTCTGATAATGTCCTTTCCTTTTGTATTTTCTTTGACTACTCATATTTTCGATGTGTCTTAATTCCATTTTTAAATTTAATTGCTTTAATTAGATTTCAGCACAATTTAATAAAATTGTTCTTATAATAAATTAATTTTTCTATAACCGCAAAATAGAAGTTCAATTTAAAACGTCAAATAAACAATCACGAAAAGACGTAAACATTTTCAATGCAGTATACTTCATAAAGTTCTTTAAAAATTTAAATAAATATTTCTGAAATATATTCTTAAAATAATTTTTAATTTAATATAATTAATATGTAATTATGCGTAAATAGATTTCAGTTTTTTATATACATTGTTCTCAAAATTTGGTTAAAATCTTTTATTAATAAGGAGTGTCAAACTGTTTTTAAGTAGAATAAATAACGCAAGAAATATAAATTAAAAATAAACTTTTTTTGAAATGTAAATTTTTAAAGGAAAGTTGTAGCGTCGATATTGAATTCGTTGCTTTAGATTTTAAAAAAATTATTTTAAGTTACTTGTAAATAAAAGCAATGATTTATTACTAAACAAAATTATTCAGAGAAACAAAACCAATTATATTTAAATTCAATATTTTACACCATGATATATATTTAATAAGATATGGCGATGAATTTTCAAACTCTGATAATAATTTTTAATTTTTTTTAATTTAAATTAACATAAAAATTAAATCCTCCTCCTCCTCCACCACCTCTTCTTCCTCCCTTATTCTAATTATTCCACCTTTACTTGTAACTTCTGTTATAATAAATTTTCCTTTTTCCATTTAAAGCATTAGCCTTGAATGACTCATCATCTGTGTCCATCCTCAAACCTACGAGAATAATAGTTTTAATGATTTGTAAAAAGCAGTTTTATAAAAGAGAAATTAAATACAAATTAAAAAAATTATTAAACATATTTGCATAAAAATTATATCACTATGAAATAAAAGCAGTAAGAAATTTCGTTTGGTCAAAAAAGGTTATGACAACTAATGGTAAATGTATAAAAATTCAGAAATTAATATTTAACTCACTATCGTCCTTCAATGATTTTAGTTCTTCTTCTAAACTTTCGTTTCTCTTCTTTTCCTCCTCTAACGACTTTTTTAATTCAGCGATTTCTTTTTCGACTGATGACATTATTAATTTTTTAAGTAAAATTTTTTAGTGCAACCAAGAAACAAAATAAATAGAAACCAATTTCAATCGATTATGCTCGAATAATCGAAAAGAGAAAAAAAACATAAAAATTAAAAAAGAAAGACAAATATAATATAATCTAACATTCGAAAAAATGTGCTAGACTGAATTTAAAAGGTTAACTAAAATCTGACTTGGAATTAATTAATTGACTTAATTAATTAAATTTGAAATATAAAAAACTCAATAGTTTGAAAAATATTATCAACTTTTATTTATATCTTCCAATAACTCTTTATTATTTAAATAAAAATTAAAATGAATCGCTCCTGTTTTATTTTCTTTCTGCAAATTCCTTCTCTGTCTTCCATCTATAAAAATAGTACTTAATGTATGTAATCATAAAAAATAAAATTTTGCAGTATTTAATATTTCAGCATATTAAGAACTTCTGCATAAGAACTGGAATAAAAATTATAAAATGATTTTTTGTTATTAATTATATGGGTATTGACTCTTTTGAATCAAAATATAAAATAAAACAATAAAATAAAAATATACCTTTATCTAAATTCTCCTTTTCTTGTTTTTCTCCTTTATTCCAAGTTTCATCCTTCTTCATCTTTTCTTCCTTTTCTCTTTCTCTTTCATTCTTTCCCTTCCTTTTACATTTCAATCTAATTCTCCGTTTCCCAGCTAAAAAATAATTTTCTATAAATGATCTTAATACTTTATGAATAAATGTATATGCAACAAATTCTGATCAGAGCTAATCAAGATAGAGAAGGAGGTCCAAATTAAATTAAAAAAATTACTTGAAAAAATACAATTTATTTTTATTTTTTCTACAATTAATCTTGACAGTAGATTATTTTTATTTTAATTAATTGATTCATTTAATTAACATTTTATTCTTAAATAAAGTAATTTCAAATGGTAAAAGTTTAAATTTAAAGAGGCTTTATTGAAATATATATAAGACAATAAAAAATAGAAGAAATGCTTAAAAAAATTTATTATTAAGAATCGTCAATAGAAAAAATTTTAAAAATTTAGGTTAATGACATCACAACTGGTAAGAATATTAATTTACGGACACAACAATATAAAATTAATAATTAATTATCTTTTACCTTTTAAGGCATTTATGTCTTTTTCAAATTGCTTCCCCTTATTAAATTCTTTCTCTATGTTTCGTTTTAATTCTAAAATTTCTTTCTCTTTCGACATAGTTTTTTTTAACAATCTGAATATATATTTGATTGTCATTTAGTTATATTTACCATAAAAGGTATAAGTCAGAGAACAAAATAAAAAATATATAAACGATAATATTCTTTTGCCTTCATATTGTTTCTAAAATAATTATCTGTCATTGACGTCCATATTATGCAGATTCATTATTAAAAAATGAAACCAGTTGAAAAAAAAGCAGTAGAGGAAGAATAATTACAGTGATAGATTCACAAGGAAAAAGAGTAATCGGGACAGGAAACAAGAATTCAGAGAAAGTGGTAAAATTAGAACAAACAAATTATTTTAACTGTCAAATACTTTAAACATAAATATCCTTTATTTTCATGTATTTTGCTAATTTTTAAAATCAAATGTAGTTAAACTACATAATTTATGCACTAAATAATTAAAAAAATATGCGTCACAAGAACAAAATCAATTTTTTAAAAAATTGTTTCCACAACATTGCTTCATCTATTTAGGTTAATCCAATCATCCGAATTTCAAAAATGCCTTCAGAAGCTGTGGATAAGAAAAAAATAGATCCGATGAAAATAAAGGTAAAAAATTGATATTAGGATGAATTTTAAAACAACAATATAGATAAAAATAATCCATTCTTTACAATGACTAAAATTTTACATTTAATTAAAACGAAGACAACGATTTTCCAAAATACGCCAAATTTAGTTTCAACAAAGACAATAATAAGATAGTTACTAAGTTAACTGACTAACTGACTAAATGAATAAATTACTAACTGACTAACTGATTAACTAACTAACTAACTAACTTAATTACTAAATGACTAACTGGCTGACTGACTAACTGAATACCTAACTGACTAACTAACTGACAGACTGACAGACTAACTGACTAGCTCACTAACTAACTGATTAACTTGACTGAGTAGATGAGTAACTGACTGACTGAATAATTGATTACCTGAATAACTGACTAATTGACTAACTGACTAACTGACTGACTAGCTTACTAACTAACTGACTAACTAACTGACTAGCTCACTAACTAACTGACTAACTAAATAACTAACTGACTAACTGACTATTTCACTAACTGACTGACTAATTGATTAACTGACTTACTGACTTACTGACTAACTGAATAACTGACTAACTAACTGACTAGCTCACTAACTGACTAACTGACTGACTAGATGACTAAATGACTAACTGACTAACTAACTGACTGACTAGTTGACTACCTGACTGACTAGCTCACTAACTAATTAACTGACTAACTGACTAGCTCACTAACTAACTGTCTGACTAATTGACTAACTGACTAACTGACTTACTGACTAACTGAATAACTGACTAACTAACTGACTAACTGACTGACTGAGTACCTTACGATTTACTGTGATTTTTAGTTGACAATATTTAATTAATTTTGTATTAATTTTTTAGTTGTCAAAAGCAGCAGATGGCACTATTCAACACTTTCAGGATTTTAACAACTCTGAAAAATTGGAAGATAAAAAAACAGAGCAACAATTAAATTCTCAACAAACTGCGCAACAACTATTTGGTCAACAATCACAAGAGGAACAAATAAATCAACAACAACAATTACAACTACAACTCCAACAACAACAACATCAAGATTTTCAACAGCAACAACAGGATCTAAAACAAAAAATGCAATTTTTGGAACAAAAAGAAAGAGATTTTAAAGAGAGACAGCAGATTTTAGTCGAGAGACAAAGAGAAATGGATGATCGCGAATCGGATTTGAATAAAAGAGAGATGAAAATAGGCGAAAAAGAATGTGTATTAAATGGTAATATAAGAAACCTTCAGGAACAAAATCAACAAATTAAACATAAACAACGACAACTTCAGGATCAAGAACAAGAAATTAAACAAAAACAACAATCAATTCATAAGCAGCAGCAGAAAATCGAAAAACTACAAGAACAATTACAAGAAAGAGAAAAAGAAGTAGATCAACAAGAACAAGACAATTTACAATCACACCCAAATTACAAGGAATTACACGAATTAAACTTACAAAACACACACTTGCAAGAACTCGTGGAACAGCACTCCAAATTCTTGCAAGAGTACACAAACAAACTTTCAACATTACAAAAACAATTACAACCACCTCAACAACAAAAAACAAAAAAAGAAAATTATGAAAATCAGGAAAACGAAATTGACCCAGAACTACTATGTCAGAATAAAAAAGAAAAGCAGCTTTAAAAACCGAATCAAGTAAGATACTATGCGATTTATATTTATTGTAAATGGAATTAGAGAAATTGAAATTATGCTATCCAAATTTCTGGTTATCCTAGGATGTACGCAGGATATCCTAAATATAAACTCTAACATAAAAGGATATTTTCGGATATCCAACAGACATTCTAGTCGTATCCAGAAATTAGACTATTTCTGAGATATTCTTAGGACATTCACGTATATTTCCAAGACATTGGATAACTTAATTTCAATCTCTTCCTCTTAATAATTTAAACAAATTTTTTTCTCATGTAAAATTCAAATTTCAAAAAAATGTATATTTCGTTTATAGGTTTAAATGTGTGTATAAAAAGATTTGAAAATTTCAGCACAAAAAGCGAAAATATCATCAGGGACAGCAGATCCAAGGAACTTCCTTCAGCCAACAATATCAACCCGTTACATTAGCTCCATCTATATTTCCAGCCATATATCAACAGCAACTTCCTCAACAACCCTATCTCATCACCCAACCACACGTCTAGAGTTTTGTTCCACAAATACCATCTCCTAACAATTTATTTGTAAGCTTTTATTTCACTTCTTTAGACAATAAGCATTCACCTATAAATTAACACATATATATCCAAAGCACATGCACACAAAACTCATACATACATGTACTCACACACACGCAGAATATACATTCATATATCATCTAACATACTGACTGACTGACTAAATAACTAAATGACTGACTAGATGAGTAACTGACTAACTGATTGACTAGCTGACTAACTAACTAAAAGACTGACTAGATGAGTAACTGACTAACTGAATGAATGAATGACTGACTGACTGACTAAATAACTAAATGACTGACTAACTAACTGACTAACTGAATGAATGACTGACTGACTAACTAACTGACTAACTGAATGAATGACTGACTGGCTGACCAACTGATTAGCTGACTAATTGACTAACTGACTAATTGACTAATTGACTAATTGACTAATTGACTAACTGACTAACTGACTAACTGACTAACTGAATGAATGACTGACTGACCAACTGATTAGCTGACTAATTGACTAACTGACTAATTGACTAATTGACTAACTGACTTACTGACTTACTGACTAACTGAATAACTGACTAACTAACTGACTAGCTCACTAACTGACTGACTGACTGACTGATTGACTAGCTGACTAACTTACTTAAAACACATGCACACAAAATTTATACATACATGTACTTACACATACGCAGAATACACATTCACATATCAACTAACAAATATACACGAAATTCAATTACACTTATATTTATACATACACACAAATCAATTACACATATAAAGTAACACGTGTATACAAGACTTATACACATAAAATACATTTACATATAAAGTTACACATATACATAAAACTCGTACATCATTATTATTAGTAATAACATCTTAAATCTGTTTTTTAGAATGGTCGACCTTATCTATTGTTCAGCAATTTGCCATGGACTCAAAACTGATCAATTGTTGAATTTAAATTTTTAATTTCTTTTAATAAATATTGATTACATAATTTAATTATCTTATATTATTCGTTAATTTTATTTTTTGTATTGAAAATGTTATTGTTTGTAAAAATAAATGAATATTTAACTTTTGTCCTATTTTGTTGGCAGCCAAACTACAGTAAGTAGAATATGTTCTTTTAACAACACACTTAGAAGAAAGTTTATTTAAAACAACCAAATTTTGGTTGAATCAACCAAATAAATGCAGTGCTATACATTTTGTTGAATGTTGACATATTTCAACCAAATTTATTAATTAAATGTTTTTATTTGCATGAACCAAACACTTTATTGCACTCAACAATATTTTTGTTTTCTTAAACCTAATATTTCGTTCTATACAAGCAAAAATTTATTTGAATAAAATAATATATTTTTTAAAATTATTCAATCGGTTTAACTACATATATTATATTTCTCTGATTAAAAATCTTCTAGTGTTTTAATTTTAACTTATTATTTTATTTTATTATACATGTTACAAATTAATTTATATTAATTTATAACAAGCAATATAAATAAAGTAATTCTGATATTTATTTATTTTCCCACATAACACATAATGTTGCAGCAACGTTGATGCAATGTTTGAAACATTTAAACTAAATATTGCAGTAATGTTTTAGGAACATTGCTATGTCCGACTCAAGAAACATTCCTATGAAACATTCCACAAATATTACAAAAAATTATCATAGAAAATGTTTTCAAAGTTGCAGTAAAATATTGTAGAAATATTACGTGTAACGTTGCAAGAATATTTCTTTGAAACATTCCAATATTATTCCAAAAAACATTCTATAATCTTTTAATAAAAATTTTGCAAAATGTAAAAAAGGACTAGAGGAAAATAAAAACTGTAATTTTAAGAAAAACTTAAGAATTTATTTATCTATGAATAAAAACAGTATTATTTTCTTACACAAAGCGTTTCAAATATTTTTCACCAACAACAACAGCAATAATAATAAAACTTATAAATAATGAACATAAAATTCTATAAAAGTAAATCTTTCTTGTCATTAGACGTCAGAAATAAGATGAAAAAAGTGTGATGTAGGCAGTTGTATGCAATTATACATTAAAGTTTTATATTTGTTCAAAGGATTTACTAAAGATAAGGTAAGTATAAATATTTTTTTAAATTCAATTTTAGACGATTTGAACAAAACGAAAGAAGATAAGGAAAGAAGAATTTCAAGGACAAAGAATTTTTGAACATTTCCACAGGTATTCGGAACATTTCCATAATATGTTATGTTATGTTGTATTTCTCTGAATCAAATCCATTCACCCAATCAATAAAGCCTGACAAATTCCCATTTGATGTTTCTGAAATTTTAAAGATAAATTATTATATTTAGTAAGTATAAATAATTTTGTTGAAATTGTTGCTTGTAGTAATTATTTTTACAGATCTATATTTTTGAAATGAAATAGAATAACGGTCATGATTAGCTCTCACCTTAACTACTACTGTTAACCTAACTGGCGATTTTAAATAATTTTCAATTAGTTGAAATTTTCACTTGCACATATGAAAATTTTTAATAAGAATCTTGACTTGTTTGTTACTTCAACAATACAATAAATTTTTATTTGGAATTTGTGTGGATTATTGGAAATACAACAGATTTATTTTTCTTTCCAGGAATTTTCCAAAATTTGGCTTTCAATTCTGATAGTTTCCAAGAAAAAAGTTCAGTACTGCTTTCAATGATTTCGTGAATATCGTAGTCACTCGAATTACATGGAACATCATAAACATCGCCTTGAAGGAGGCATTTCCTTCCAATTAAATATATATTATTTTTTTCAGATTCCACATTGTTTAAAATTATTGCGATAGAGCCATCTTTAAACAGAACACAGTTATTTCTTAGGCTATCACAATCTATTAAAAATGAACCAAAAGTAATCCTTTTATATTGACAAGTAATTTCCATCCCATCATTTATAAAAGGTCCAGAAAAATGAGATTGTTTCAAATTAATATTATTTTTTGATTGTTCACGAAACACTTTTTCAGAGGCTTCCATTTCAGCATATCTTCTGCTTAATTGTTGTAAAGGTTTATTATTTTTCCTTAGTTTCTTTTTAATGCTTGTCATAAAATTTTCGAATTTAAATGCAGAAAATAAATCTACATTACCATAGATTCTAGCATCTTCGCAAAGGTGTAGCAAATTATGGAAGTTATAAGACACCCACATAACACATAATATTGCAGCAATGTTGCTGCAATATTTTTTTGTAACATTTGAAATATTTCTTTGTAATATTGCAGAAATATTTTAGGTATATTGCTATGTCCGACCTATGAAATATTTCAAAATAATATTGCAGCAACATTTTGATGAACTTTTAGAAAACTATTTACTGAAATATCTCAGAAACATGACACTGAAATATTGCTGAAATGTTTCTTTGAAATATTGTTAAAATATTACTTTAAAATATTATATAATTCTCTCAAAAATTATTATTTAAATTATTTGCAAATACTCTGAAGAACATGGATGCTGAATTTCTTTTGCATTGAAAATGTAATTTTTATTTTGTTACTTTTACTGATTAAATGAATTTTTAATTTAAAAATCAGTGGAATTAAAATTATATAAAATAGAATGGTATTTGCGAAGAAAAAAATCTATTTTAACATAAAAACCATTTTTATTCCAAGAACAATTTTTTTATTTAACCTAAGAGATTAATTACAATCAGGTAAGTAATAAAGTAATCAATTTTATAATACGTTTTAATAAAGGGAAAATTTTGTAGAACATATAATGAATGTTAATGATGTAATATTAATAAAGTATTAAAAATTATAATATTATATTATTTTTCTTTGTCAAAAAGTATATGAATTAGTTCATTAAACTACGTCGAATTGCTTTCATATCTTCAACTATTTTGTATCAATATAATAAAATATTTTGTACAATAAACATTTAAAATCATTTTTAGAAAAGTAATTAAATTATACAGAAAGATTCTATCTTAGACTTTGATTCTAACTTTCAATAAAAAATATTTCCTTAAAATAGCATGTAATATAAATTGTGAATCACTTGTAGAATCCCTCCGACCAAATTTTACTGTTTGCATCTGAAAAAAATGTTTCATTAATTTTTATTTTATAAGTTTAAGTATTTATAAAGCACAATTTGTCTATATTTAATATAATTATTTTAGTATGGAATAAAATGATTCTTTAGAAGTTTCCCGTACTGTTTGTACGTTTATAAAAAATTAGTTAAAAATTAAAGCTATTAAAAATAATAATAATATTAGTAGAATAATAGAAATTTGTTGAAATTACTTTGGTTAACAAGAAGTTGTGTGTAATATTGGAAACACGACTGACACTTTTCTGGTTTCAGATATCTTCCACATTTTTGATTTTAATTCAGATAGAGGCCATGAACAGAAAGATT